ATAGATCCATAATTATGTACAATGTCAGGGGCTAAACACCTGCCGGTTCTCACAAGCTAGGAACTGTGAGTCCTTCTCTGTAGGGCTAAGGCGCTGGCCATCTATCAACACGGACACCCATACTTGATCCCTCTGGAGTCTCAATATCTGTAACTCTCATGGGATTATATAGGAATGATTACATCCTCCTTCTCTAGGTACAATTAAAGGAAGTGTGTGTGTGTGTGTGTGTGTGTGTGTGTGTGTGTGTGTATGTGTTGTGCATCTACACAGGGAGTCTGATAGGTCAGAGCCTAAGCAAGGGCATTCAGGCTCAGGGCAGTACAGGGCTGTGGGCCCTCAGACGGTTGCAATCTTTAATACAGACTCCTCAGGTCCTGGACCACTACCGGCTCCCTTCCCGTACATCCCACACACCTGTGGTCCAAGCAGAACAAATTCAGGCCACGTAAACTTCACAATCATCTTGAAGAAGCACGTGAAAGGCTTTCGTAACTCCCACTGAGGGCTGGGTACTTGGCAAGAGCAATACCAAACTCTAGCTCAGCGCTGTGCAACAAGAAGCAGACAGAAACTTGACCTTGCAAATTGTGCTTCAATTTCAATAAAAATGATCATAGTTCCACCAAAAAAAAAAGATCATAAATGAACCCGAACATGAAATATGGAATGGATGAGTCCTTTGTGCGTGTTCTCAAGTTATAGCTGCTCTTGAGTCCCACTGCAATAGCTTTATTGAACATACTTGAGCGCTCTGATGTTAGGAGCTATAATTATAATACTGTTTGTGTTACTCCTGGTCCTCCAAGAAGCAGAAGTCAAGAGAGGATCATTGTGAAAGGGATTTGTTAAGAGCAATGCCGATGACGGAACACACAGAAGGGGCCAGAGCTGGCTGGGACACCACTCGGCTTCAGTCTGTGTTTAATCCTTGGGAAAGAGGGACAGGAGGAAGAAAAGGCTGGCACTGCAGTACGGGACTCAGAAAAGTTCTTCAAGGACAGCGGGCAGGGGAGGGGTCTGAGAGCCAAAATTACCCATCAGAAGAGACTCTTGTCTCTTAGCAATGGGCCTGCCTTGTAGGTCCCGTCATCCCTAATCACTGGCTGGGAAATGCCCTGCGCAGCAAGGCCATGGCTCCGAGATTCCAGAACACACCAGCTGAGGGCCGCTGGCACTTCTGCAGCCTGCAGTTGGAAAGCTGAGCGTGGCATTTGCACGGCCTCCACAGTGCTTCTTCCTAAAACAGCTGCGTACACCTGTTCTGGATCATCTTAAATAGTGACTTAGCAAACCTCCCTGGTGACTCATGCCAGGAAACTGTACATAGGTAGATTTAGCTGTCTCCGTTCCTAAGTTAGAGTGTGGCTAATCATTTCCAGATCCTTAAAGCCCGTTTGGAGAAAGAATATAAAGAACCATCTTTAAATTAGACTCATGACTATAAATAATTGGAGGCAAGAGATGTTCAATGCTTGCCCATAGTTGGAAAGCATTCTTGCGAAGCAACCCTCCATTTGGAATTCCTGCAGCAGTCAGCCTCCTTCTGACCAACTAACACATCATGGGTAGCAATAGTGACTCTGATTGCTGTGTTTCTCCTGTCATTTCCAGAAAATTACTGATAATTTTATTTGCACACATTTATTATGAAGGACATAGAAAAATTTTCAGCAGTATTAGGGATGGATGATAGAGACAGATAGATGATAGATCGATAGATAGATGGATGGATAGATAGATAGATAGATAGATAGATAGATAGATAGATAGATAGATTAATCTCCTTTGAACTGAAAATGGCTGTATTTTACCCTACACCTATTAAGAGGTGGATTATTGGGATACAATTTGGATTTGGCCACCAAGGACAATAGGCAATAAGTAAGGGGCGGGTATGAGGCACCATTGTGTTTAGACAGTGTTTTTTAAACACTCATAGTCAGAATTATCCTCCAAACTCCTCAATATGACAGCCAAAATCCCTCTAATCTTGGCTTAAATTCCTCTGTAGAGCTAGAATGATATAAATCCTGTTAACATGTCCCAGTACAACGAACATTTTGTTTTTCTCACATGAAGTCATTTCCCATTCCTGTCTCCGGGTACTGGAATTGGTACAGCCTCCCATTGTAAAGCCCCCCATTCACCTCTGCCCATAAATATATTTTTTTTCAAAAGTAAGTTTTTGTGCTGCCTTCTCTTCAATTGCTTTGATCTCTGGATGAGAAATAACTGCATCATTCCTCCTTTCCAGGGACTGATTGGAAGCCAGCTGTAGTCCTAAGGGAGGTCTGACATTATTACCATTGCATTTGTGTGAATTCTCCTCTCCAGATTCATGGACATAGACTTGTCTTCAGACTTCTCAACCACAGAATCATTTCTGATTGCCACAGTGTCGCACAGAAGATGTGTCCGGTGAGAATGGGTTGATTTTCTCTAAAGAATATGTTTTCCTGGAGGCAAAAGAAAGGATCTGGGGTTGGAATATCACATGAGCAAGGCTTCCTAAGTGAGAATCCATTCCAGTCACCATTTTTATCCTTTTACAGGATCCCCTGTTGCTCCTGTGTCCCATTCTATTCCATCCCACCCCACCCCATCCCATCCCATCCTACCCCACCCCCAATCCCATCCCATCCCATTCCATCCCACCCCATCCCACCCTAATCCCATCCCATCCCATTCCATCCCACCCCAC